ACTGGGGGAAGTCTGGGGCAGAGCAGCTGGGGTGCTGACGGGTTGGTCCCACAGTGCCATGGGGCAACGCTACGGGACCAAACCAGCAGCACCCCATCGGGGAAGCCGGGGGCAGAGCAGCTCCAATTGTCCGGCGGCCTGGAGCACTTCCAGGTTCCCGATGGTGCCGGACCATCAGGAGCGCCGTACCATCACATGCCGGACCAATGGTGCTGGACCATCAGGAGTGCCGGACCATCACATGACGGACTAATGGAGTTTTACTGTACTATCAAATAACTATTTAAGTCACTAACAATAACACTACCTAAGCAGTAAGCACAGAGTGCTGCTGGGTTCTGATCAAGCCGGGAGTGGTTGAGAAGGAACTGAGGGATGGTGGACAGTACGTGTGCATTGGCACATTTGCTGCGCTGCCATGCGTGCATGCCAGCACCCAGGGGGATGCTTCTGCTAAAAAGTTATGATTATAAGCACAGGAGTGCCAAGACACCTGCAGTGGAGCACCAACAGAGACACTCCTTGAAGAAGAATGCTTGAATACTATACCCTTAGCAGCAGCTTGTTACTGAATGGAGATGAGGTATTTTGTTTATTTTATTAAGTTTTCCATGATACAAAGCATAATAATAAAATTAAGCCTGGAGGTAATGACCCTGAATCAGTGAGGACTCAGGTGTGTGAAGTAACTTTCAACATAAAAGTTCTCTCTGCACTGAAAAGTTTTAAGGGTGCCCTTATACTTTATAATAAAGTGTAAACTGGGGGTGGGGAACCTTGAGCCTGGGGGCTGGCTCGCCTGGAACTAACCCCTGAGGCTCAGGGCCCCTCCCCAGCATTGGGGAGCCCACACTGGTGCTTCAGTCCCCCTGTTGTCCCACTGTGGAGCTGGAACACACAAAATCTACTAGACCGCCCCCCTCCAGCCTCAAGATCTAATGTGTAAGGGAAATGTGGGCAGTCAGAGGCCATAGGTGTTGTTTGTTTTTTGCTTCTCACTTGTGTATGGCCCCCGATGGACTTTTCTGTACATCAGTGGTTCCTGACCTAAAAAAAGGTTCCTTGCCCCTGGGGTAAACAATTAAATCTTATTCTAGTTGCCTTTTTTGTATTTTACCGTATTTTTACATTTTGTTATCTTGGTGCTCAGCTTGTTAACATGGTTTACTTTTTACTATCTTGAAAAAGACTGAAGTGAAGTTATTCTTTGTAAACAGCCACTGCAAGAAAACCAAATTTAGCCTTAATCTGCAAAGAGATTCAAGTTATTCAACTATTATACTTTAATGTAAAATATGATTCTATTTTGGAAACACGTCTGCATAACGTTAAGAGAGTAATTGCCTGTCCCAGTAGGCAAGATGTGCCAGAGGTACCCCTTGAATTTCAGTTTACCAATATGATAAACCAAAACTACATCTAACAACTACTGATTATGAGATGTCAATTTGTAAGATTAATTTAGCAGGAAAAATGTTTTTGTTTGACTTTCAGAATTGTATTATATTTTATTCATTAGATGTGTTTATACAAACACATAAAACTTATGTTAATATAATACAAGAATCACTTCATATACTAAAAAACAGGACTATGTAGCACTTTAAAGACTAACAAGATGGTTTATTAGGTGATGAGCTTTCGTGGGCCAGACCCACTTCCTCAGATCAAATAGGAAGTGGGTCTGGCCCACGAAAGCTCATCACCTAATAAACCATCTTGTTAGTCTTTAAAGTGCTACATAGTCCTGTATTTTGTTTCAGCTAGACCAGACTAACACGGCTACATTTCTATCACTATTCATTTACCAGTGACATATAGACAATTCAGGTGGGGAACACGGTATTACACAGTAGCTGATTAATAGCATAGCAAGAGTTCATGGCAAGAAATTAAGAAGAATACAATATCTAGGTAAACTGAAAGAGAATATGTATGGAAAATGCAGCCTCTTTCTTAACAGGACGTTCTGTAGACTTGTTGTGACTTGTAAAGTATGTCTATTATAATTCAAATGCTAATGTCTTTGGTTTGCTTATGTAGGGTTTACAAAATTTACTTTTTTTACGATTTAACACCTGAATTAAATTAATTTGGCTCAAAGCTATTCTTTGGACATTTTGGACCAATATCAAACTAGGATGCCAATAATCCAGGGGACTTTTTAGCTGCTTACTGAAAAAAAAGAGGGTTATAATAGATGACAAAACATGTTTTTTGGAAAAATGTATAAACATTATTGTCACATATTTAATTTGCAGTTTCTATTACCTCCTTTAAAGCATGGTTGAGAAACACAAGCTGAAATAGAGTCTAAGTAGTGCACACTCAACTCTCATTGGAGGATTAATATGTCTTGTGAATTGCTCTAGATGTGTCAGATTATACACTATTTTCTCATTTATCCAATCGCCAATGCTTTTTTCTATCTCAGAATAGTTAGTGTACAAAAAATGAGACATTGGAATTCTAACCAACTGTAAAAGAACGACAAATTTGTTGTATTCTAAGTATAAATAAAAGATATGTCTGTCTTTCAGGACATGAAGTATTTATGATGATTCATATGCTGTTAAAGAGCCTAGAATCCTTTACATGTTTTGATAAAAATGAACCGTTTACATTTTTAAAGGACCTAATTAAACATTATGTAGTTATATATAGGAGTTTAAACATTGTTTTGGAACAATTAAAACACAACTACGATCTATGAAAAGGTAAAATGTACTTACTTGACTGTTTTTTCTTTCTTCTTGTATAACTTCCTGAAAAGCCTTTGCAATCTTTTCTGTATCTTTGGCACATTCTGCCAGCCATATTTCTCTTTCTTCAGCATGAATTTTCTCCATGTTTCTTCTTTCATCTTTGACTGCCTTTAAAATTACTTCTTGCATTATTTCTTTTTCAATCTTTGAAACAAAGCAAAAATGAATGACAGAAATGGTGAATCATTAAAATCCCTTCATTTTGAATGATTGACAGGCTTATGTGATAGAATAAGAACAGACATTTTCACTTCTAAGTCACTACTGCATATCAGAATCTAGGATGATAATGCCCCAAAAATATTATTATAGCTATGTGTTAGTTGTTAAAAAATGAGTTTGAAGTGAGGAGGATTTTGAATTCTTAGCTGTCCAAATCAGAAAAAAACCCATCACAACTGCTCTTCTTCAAGTAGATTACAGAGGCTGAATAACAAGAAGTTACCCACATCACACAGCAACAATGATTCTTTAAGATGTGTGTCCCTATGGGTGTTCCGCTGCAAATATTTGTGCGTCCCTGAATTGCTAACCGGAAAACATTGGTAGCAGTGTCCAGCCTGTGCCTCTGCTATTCCTTGTGCTCTTCCATGAGGCTAGCCAGGATGCACGGGTGAACCCTCCTCAGTTCCTGCTCTACCTCAGAGTCAATGACAAGCAGTTCTGAAAGATAGGGGAGGAGAGTAGGTTGTGTGGAGCATCCACAAGGACAAACAGTATTTCTACACAGAATGAGTAACTTTCTCTTCTCTGAGAAGCATACCTATAGATGTTCCATGAAAGATGATTCCTGAGCAGTGCCCACTAGAGGCTGGGACTTCGGAGTTCAGTCCTTTATAGATAGTAATGAGATACTTGAAACTGGCATCTTTAGTAGAGTCCCGTAGAATGGCATAGTATTTTGTGAAGGTATGCACAAATGCCGAGGTAGCTGCTCTGTATATTTTTGATACTGGGATCCTCTTAGGGTACGTCTACACTTGCTCCCTATCTCGAGATAGGGATGCACATGTAGTCAACCAAAATTGCTAATGAAGCGGGGATTTAAATATCACACACTTTATTAGCATAATCTCACCTGCGTGCTATTCTGATCACCAGCTGATTCGAACCAGGAAGTGCGCTCTGGGCCACGTTAGTTCAAATCAAATCCCTTGGTTCAAACTAACGTTAATGAGGAGTAATGTTACTTCGAACCAAGAGGTCTGATTCGAACTAATGTGGCCCGGAGCGCACTTCCTGGTTCGAATCAACTGGCGATCAGAACAGCATGTGGGTGAGATTATGCTAATGAAGCATGGGATATTTAAATCCCCACTTCATTATCAATTTTGGTCGGATTCATTTGCATCCCTATCTCAAGATAGGAAGCAAGTGTAGATGTACCCTTAGAGGAGGAAACTGCTGAGGAGAGGAATCTCATACAATGCATGTGTATTGAAGATGGGAGTGTTACACTGCGACGGTGATAATAGAAACTGAAACAGTTGGAAAACCTTTTGGAGAGTCTTAAGGATGAAATTGATGTACCTTTTCACCTGTCTGAGATTTTCTAAGATTTCTTATCCTGTTCTCACATCAAGTGTATGGAGAACAGCTTCCCTATTATCCTGAAGAGATCTGGGATAAAAAGTCGAAAGGTGCATGAGTCAGTTTCATGTGACAAGCGGATGTCACCTTGAGAGTAAACTTTGGATGTAGTCGAAGCATAACTGTGTCAGGGAAGACTACTGTAAAGGGGGAATGCTCTATTAGAGTTGCTATCTGGCCGCTTGAATTTGTGCAAAAACACGGAAGATCTTATGTAAGATTGTCAGTGTTCTTCCGCAAATACTATGCTGCTCCCGTTCGGGCAAAGACCTCTTGCGCAAATGCTTTTGCCCAAGAGGGCCAGTGTAGACAATGCGGTATTGTTTTGCGCAAAAAAGCCCTGATGGCGAAAATGGCAATCAGAGCTTTCTTGTGCAAAACCGCATCTAGATTGGCATGGACACTTTTCCGCAAAAAGTGCTTTTGCGGAAAAGCGTCCATGCCAATATAGATGCTCTTTTCCGCAACTGCTTTTAACGGAAAAACTTTTCCATTAAAAGCATTTGCGGAAAATCATGCCAGTCTAGATGTAGCCTGGGAGTATAAGTGGGCCACCTCCGTTGAGAGGACTTTGGAGATTACTCTTGGGGTCAATGAGGGGTCAAAAAGGAGTACTCCATATTGGCAGTAGTCTTGGTTTAGCCCAATCCTGAGGCACTTGCGATGACTTGGTATATGATTGAGACATATAATACACATCTTGAAGGAGGTCTGAAGGCTATGCTTTCTTTTATACCCAGGTGTACAGATCCTGAGAAATCAAAGAGTATTTTAAGGTATAGGGTGAAGTATCAGTCTTTTCTACAGACAGCTTTGTCCCTTCAAAAGGAAGGTCATCTACATATGTTTAAGTCTCCTTTGGGAAGCTGGATAGGAGAAAACAAGAACCTCGTCATCATGATAGGACATGCCACTGTCAGCTGCATAAAGTACAGATCGGAGACATGTTTTTGCCACCAATTGGATTTCATTGGCATTGGCTGTCAATTATTCAATAAGAAACTCTGGAAGCTGCTCAATAAAGGAATTCAGTTTTAAGTAATTCCGACAATCATATTTTGTCACTAAGACTTGCCAGTTTGCAATACAACACTGAATAGTGCCCAAAGGAGTATGCTTTCTTGCAAAAAAAGATCAAGGTCACAGGAAGGGGGTGTAAATGGGTGTTGGCAGCTCTTTGAGTGGACTGCATCCACTATGGTCAACCAGGAAGCAGGGAGAAGAGGAACTACATGTCTTTCACCAGCGCATACTAATTTGTGTCAGCTCACTCATATGTTGATGGGACTGATGTGGGAGTCTGCTATATGATTTCGACAGGGTTCAAATGTGCTTCATTAACAGGAAGGGTTATTCCAGACAAGGCAAAAGAATGTAAAATCATAGAATCATAGAATAATAGGACTGGAAGGGACCTCAAGAGGTCATCGAGTCCAGCCCCCCGCCCTCAAGGCAGGACCAAGCTCCGTCTACACCATCCCTGACAGATGTCTATCTAACCTGTTCTTAAATATCTCCAGAGAGGGAGATTCCACCACCTCAATGCCCACTAGCTTGTGATGTGACTTGGTCATTTCTTGTAGTGCTATCTGTAGTGCCCCTGCCATCCATTGCACCAGGTTCTGAAACATTTTAGTCATCTGCCATTTACTGCAGGGAGGCACAACCATCTCATCTAGTGATGATGAAGAGAAATGGGCCTGAAAGATAATTTCCTCCTCAACTTCAACATCCTGCTCTTCCTTTGTCTGTTCATGGGGCTCAGATGCTTTTGAAGCAGCAGCTGAAGAAGTGTGTCTCCTTGGTTGCTGGTAGGCCACACTAGAACTATGGGAGGCATATTGTCTTTGAGATTGCCAGAGATTGCAGATGGACCATTGCGAAATGAAAAGGGATCTGGTGGTTGGTAATACAACTATCCAAATCAGAGCGACTAGGTGTCAGAAGAATATGATATGGCTGCAATCTGTATTGAAATAGGGCACCATATAGTGAGTGAGAAAGACTTGCTCACTTTCTGACACTGAGGATAAAAAGGGTGGTCCATGACAAGAAATTGGAGTGTCAAAAGTTCACAGTGAACTCATTATCAAGTTCCCAGTATTGTACAGAGGAAAATACAGTGTGTCAGACACTGAAGCATCCATTGTGTATTGGAAGGTTTCCGTAGTGGTAGTGGGATGCCGAGGTATCAGGTCTGTGGACTTGATAGTATGGTCTGTTGGTGCCTCTCCTACCATAGGTGGTACCAAAGTCAATGTCTGTACCACAGAAGACTTCCTTGCCTGTTCTCTTTGGGTCCTTAAGCAACACTGCTGGCTCTATTAGGATAGTAAGTGTGAGCGTCCTGGGTACTGGATTTAGATGGCCTCGTTAATGACCAGGCAAATCATAATGGTTGAACTGGAGATCATTTTTAGCTCAACTGGGGTTCACTTTGGGGACTCATGACTTTTTTTCTTAGAAGTCTCAAAGAAGTAGCTGTGTTATCCTGCAGCACTAGCTTTTGAGGGTCTTGGGTTCATTTCCCTTCAAAGTAGGGACTGAGGTGAGGTTTCCCACTGTCCAGGAGACAGCTGAAAAAGGTGCCTCCATGAACAGGAATTTGAGCCTCAGTGTTCTGCCTTTTCTAGATCTGGGCTTCACTTGCTGGATCACACCACACTTCTGTTTGATGTGTTTCTTTCCCAGGCAGCAGACACACCGAGTATGCAGTGGGTCACTGGGACAGATTCCCTGTAACTGAGAAACTTCTTGCAGCCCAAGGAGCGAAGCATACACTGTTCAGGGTGGTCCTCTTACATAGGGTAGAATACGAATAAAGTCCTTTTCTCCCTTTCCTTTTTTTAAAGCAAAAAAATAAAAGAAAAACAAGTTTCCAACTTGTTTTAATTTTAAAGAGGTGAATAATCTACAAAAAAAAAATCTAAACCGCTGTGTCTATACAGGAATGGCTGAGAAGGAACTGAGGGGGGTTCGCTCATGTATTCTAGCTCAGTGTTTTTCAACCAGTGGTACAAGTACCCTCAGGGGTACTCGAGAGAAGTCTGGGGGGTACGTCAACGCAACTGAAGTTTGGAGAAAACTGAACTTTTATTTTAAGTTTTACAGCGTTTTATTATTTTTGTACCTTTTACACCCAAAAATGTCATTGCCCGTCTGGCTATGATTACGTTGTTTAAACAAATGTGTTGCAATGGTAACAAAAAAATTGTGTCTGAAAACTGTAGGTAGTGGAGATACTTACAATTTTTTTAAAGGGGGTCCTTTATACAAAAAAAGTTGAGAAACACTGTTCTAGCTAAACTGGTGGCAGAGACTGGAGAGCAGTGCATGCACAGTCTGAACAGACACTACCACCAAATTTCTCTGATCAGCAATGCAAGCACACTTACAGTGAAACACCCAAAGGGATGCTACTCAAAGTAAAATGGGGACTAAACCATCCTTTCAACCACAAAAGTGGTCTCTCCAAGCCAGGGTTCAGCCATATTAGTAGGGCAATATGGAAGAAACTTCCATGTGCATGTTTGTTCTGTATTTAAATATAGCAC